ATATGAATAACCTGACCGCTGCCGCATCCACTGAGTGTGTTTGAGTCATTGTCTACACCTCGGCGTTCCATGAAGGCAAGGCAAATGCGCGCTCTGATCCACGTTCACACAGCACGTCAAGGACGTGCTATGTGCTTGCAGTGCAATTATTTGTTATGGTCACCCCAAATGCGGCTGGGAAAACACATTTTTCCCCCCCATCTTTAATGCACGAGCAGCATCTATTGCAATCAATGGGGACACGCATCACACGCGAGAAAGAAACGCATGCAAACGAGCACGAATATGCGAAAACGCGACATGTGTTCCCGCTAGGCCTAGGTGTGAACGGGGGCCTTCTGTTTTTTTCCAACACCTGGAACTGTCACTTTTTCTGGACCGCTTCTCAAACAGGGGGGGAACACAGAACGCATTTTGCAGACTTTGCTACATGAGTTACCTTTCCCGCGTTTAACACTCGTGCAGCACTCATCAATCAATGGGGACGCAAGTCAGACGCAGGGAAAGAAATACATGCGAATGTGCAGAAATGCGACACGCGTTCCCGTGTGCTACGCCTGGGTGTGAACGGGGCCTGATGGTTTTTCCCAACACCTGGAACTGTCACTTTTTCTGGACCGCTTGGCTCGCACTAAAGTGAAAACTATAAGGCCTTGTTCACACCAAATGCAGAGCAGATCCGGTCAGGTTTCTGCACAGGCACGCTAGTCTTTTAGATGCGTTTTTGATGCGTTCCGGGCTCTTTTTGGTTAAAAAAAGGGCTTTCAGTGTGTTCCAGGCATTGGCATGCGTTTTTGATGCGTTACAGAGCAGATAAAATAGGGCCTGCTGCAGTTGTTTCACCTGCTCTGCAACTGCACGCTGCGATGTGAACTGGAGCAAAAAATACCATTGGAATACATTGGACGCAGTTTTGATCCGGTCTGCACCTGCTCTGCTCTGGATCTGCTCCGCACTTGGTGTGAACAAGCCCTAACGCATCACAAACGCGTCAAAAACATGTCTAAAAGACTAGTGTGCATGTGCAGAAACCTGACCGGATCTGCTCTGCATTTGGTGTGAACAAGGCCTAAAGAACAATGAAAGGGGAATTCATATAATAAATACTATCGTTATGGTTACTGGAATACAATATATGTCACTATAATGGGCACTTTACACAAGCGGTGTCATAACAGAGGCGCAATCACAGAATACGGAGCTGACCGGAAGCTCCGCGGGTGAACACGTCTGCCATGTACATGGTCACCAATGATATTGTCCTTTTGGGGTATTACTCCTATAAATAAAAGTCTCTCTGTTGCCGAGAGCCTCTGATCAGGTTCAGACCTTCACATCCCGGATGGCAGAAATGGAAAGTTTGACACTGCGGCCCTCATTTATCAAAACGTCTGAAATAAGAACTATCAGTGTCACCCGTATCTGCCAATCTGGAGAAGAAAACCTTGAAATTGATCGCTGGGAGGAAATGAACGGGAGGCGGGACACACAGGGGCGCTGGAGGGGCAACTAGAAGAACTTTTCTTTTGCAGGACATGTTCATCTTGATTTCTTTTGTAAGCTGACGGGGTCGCCTTAATAGAGGGCTGGACCAATCACAGGAGGCAGGTCGCCAAACCTCCTTCAAAAATACAGCTGACACCTAACATTTGAGGATTTTCTCTAGCTGCTGTCAATGGAGCCGACTGAATAATCCTGCCGGCTTCTGAAATGGACAGACTGGATCCTGAATTCCATATTTGGGAGTCCTCCCCTGCAGGGGCGTCCCGAGGCCGGGTGTCACCAGGAGCGGAGACCGGGTGCCACCCCGCCGTGACATCATCTTGGTGATGAACGCCGGCAGAGAGAGGAGGGGACGTTCACCCGGGCGGGATGAGGAATGCTGCCGGGTCCCCTCCTCTCTCCTGACACTGTTGGGCTCTTGGTCCATGACCGAGTGCCCGACTTTACAGAGGGAGTGACACCAAACTGACTGTCAATCGTTTTGGTGTCACCCCTCCAATGGTGTCACCCGGGTGCGGGCCGCACCCCCTGCGTGACGCCACTGCTCCCCTGCCTTAAGATGTCTCATATACAGAATTAGGAGAATTGATCAAAACTGGAGCAGACAAAATCTGGAGCAGTTGCCCATAGGAACCAATCAGCTTCTCTCTTCAGTTTGCTCAGGTAAGATTTAAAAATGAGAGAGAGAAGCTGATTGGTTGCAGTTCAAATCTACTCCAGATTTTGTCAGCTCCAGTTTTGATAAATTCCCCCTCAATGTCTTTTTGGCCTGCATAGGTAAGATGACAGTGCCCTTAAATCTTTGGAAGCATTTATCTAGGTGGATTTCTCCATTCACAATACTTTTTCTGTAAGAATAATCAGAAAAGGTAACAACTTTTAATATTTTGTGGAAAGTTAAACTTTTTTTTTTGCCCACTTTGCCAAATAACTCCCATGACGTGCTAAGTTTCTTCTTTCTTCATGGAAGAACGTTTGCAGGCTCTGAAGTCTTCGTTTAATGAGGTGACATGGGATTTGCTCTGGAGGGCTTTAAGAATCTGCATATGAGAAGGAATTGTTAAAAGGTTACTGGAGGCTAGAGTAGATGCTATGAGTATGACTTGGGACACCCACGCTGGGTTGGGAAATCACCTCCACTAACCCAGGCCACTTACAATAGACACACATTCAGTGGGGGAACAGTTGTTTTGGAGATCATTAGATGATCGTACAACTTGACTTTTTGAATGATATACACAGAGATGGTTTAATAAAAAGCTAACATATTAAAATGTGTTTTACAAGGTTTTTTGACCTGCTTAAGTGTCAATTTGCAATGGCTGCATATTTACCTGCATATCAAAAAGCACCCCAATGTGTCCTACACTTTATTATTCTATTTACACTGTAAATAAGATTGACAACATTGATTTTACTAATCTACTGTCACAGCCTGCAGTGCAGAGTTTGTCAGTAAGGGCAGTGCAGAGCTTGTCAATAAGGGCAGCGAACCACCAACATATTCGTTTCCTTCACCAACGACATCCTAGCACGGCAAAAAAAAAGTCAAAACTCCATTGAGTTCTGCCGGATGATGGTTTCCTATATTGTAACAAGTACTCAGAAAATCTAACACAGGGGTGGGCAACCTCCGCGCGCCTGCTGTAGTGAAACTACACGTTTTAACATGCCTCTGCCTCTAGGAATCATACCTGGGGCAGTCAGACTCTTCTCAATGCATCATGGGATTTGTAGTTCCACCACAGCTTCCAAGGTTGCCCACCCCCTACTCTAACACAAAGGAGACCAATCACACTTCAGAAAAGGTAAATAACTATATCGGGTGATTTCATTGTATCTGTATTATAAATATATCCATGTATGTGCCAGCTTTGGTTTACTGTCCATTAGGTCATGGTAGAGTGGTGGACCCACCAGGGGCAAAAGAGAAAATGATACCAACTGGTTATTATGAACAAATATCAGTCGCAGAGCATTTGGAGAATTTCCTTCTCGAGTGCAGAAGCATAGAAACACATTGAATAATTGATGTTGTAATTCCAGAGCCGCACAGTATTAATCATTAAGGTTTCCCGATGCAAACATAGTAAAGTTGCAGATGCTGGTGCGGTGCGACCTACAAAAATATGCTTTACAAATTATGCCGGAGGTCCTCAGAACCATCGGAAGATGAGAGAAGATGCGTCACTGGTACATACAATATATATGAGTGAGCCGTGTGTCATTGTACGCTACCGCAGAACTCTATGCCGGAACAGTGGCTGCTACAAATGTTGCTATCAAGGCCTGCCTTGTATTATTCTACTGAAGGCCAGAAAAGGAATGAGGACTCTACGTGGTTATGGAATTCCACTATGACAGTCTTTGCTTCGGTAGGACATATACTAAAATTGGAATTCCACCATAATGGTCCTTGCTTTGGTAGGACATATACTAAAATTGGAATTCCACCATAACGGTCTTTGCTTCGGCAGGACATATACTAAAATTGGAATTCCACCATAATGGCCCTTGCTTTGGTAGGACATATACTAAAATTGGAATTCCACCATAACGGTCCTTGCTTCGGCAGGGCATATTCTAAAATTGGAATTCCACCATAACGGTCTTTGCTGCGGCAGGACATATTCTAAAATTGGAATTCCACCATAATGGTCCTTGCTTCGGCAGGACATATATTAAAATTGGAATTCGACCATAATGGTCCTTGCTTCACTAGGACATATCCTAAAATTGGAATTCCACCATAATGGTCCTTGCTTCGGCAGGACATATATTAAAATTGGAATTCCACCATAACGGCCCTTGCTTCACTAGGACATATCCTAAAATTGGAATTCCACCATAACGGTCCTTACTTCACTAGGACATATCCTAAAATTGGAATTCCACCATAACGGTCCTTGCTTCGGCAGGACATATATTAAAATTGGAATTCCACCATAACGGCCCTTGCTTCAGCAGGACATATACTAAAATTGTAATTCCACAATAACGGTCTTTGCTTCACTAGGACATATACTAAAATTGGAATTCCACCATAACGGTCCTTGCTTCGGCAGGACATATTCTAAAATTGGAATTCCACCATAACAGTAAAAAAGCCCGTATAAAGATATACCAGGGCAGCCAAACCATCACTTTTATATGCAGCGCCTCTCCTCGATTTGTCTCCCGATAGCAGTATAAGCTTTTGAAGTATCTTCTTGGCCTGGTGGGCAATGTTCTAGACTCAACAGAATTGTTGCGTCTATGAGAACATGCCATTGTTACCTTGTGAATACCTGTGGACGGATCACCATGACAACAAAGGGAAGCTTTTACCACTGGACAACATGATACTTCAAAAACCTGCAAAGGCACGATGTAAAAAAAAACTCCCTTACCGTATCACGTGTGTCATTGTAGTTTTATAATACAGTTGTCTACCGCTAGCTAGTCAAGTGCAAACTCACACATCAGCTGGCCATAAAGAAATCGGGTGTTCGCTTTACCTTGCCTGATAGAGATATATCTTTTGTTGAATGCCATGAAGACAACTTGAGGGTGACTCTCCTCAAGATCAAAGAGTTCATCTTTGCCAGGCTTGGAGCTCCGCCCAGCTTTTAGCGTGCCTGTAGGTCCCATCGGTGTCAAATACTTCCCAGTGCAATCTTTGAAGGCCAGCTTCCCGGCCTTGAACTCAAGAGTGTAGGCGGTGCCTTTTTCGGGGTCTTTGACCAACTTCCCGTCGTTGCGCAGGTAGCGGTTATCACAAGTCTTCAAACAGTATTTTTTGTCCTGATACACCAGGGTGATAAGGGAGTGCACCCCCCACGGTATGTTGCTGTCTGTGGAGATCTCATCCTCTTGAGGGCTCAGGTGGGCATACCTCCTCCTGCTCACACTAAGAAGGTTAGCTTGAGGATGGATGGCCAAATGCACAGCCCAGAGCTCCGTCTCTGTGATGGTCTGCGCAAAACAGGACAGCTTGTCTTCCGAGCCGCCAAAGAACCGCTTGTGTATATCTGACTGTAGGGCCCACCTGCCATCCGACTGAGCAGAGATGGTGAAACGCGAAGCTACTTCTGGCTTCTCAGCCTCGCACGACACGTTTCCATCTTTGTCGGCCGATAAGTATCTGCCAAGATGGTGGCTCTTGAGGTAGACCACCGAGCTGTCTACCTCATCTTGCTCCAAGGTCCAGATCTGCTTCTTTTTTAGGCTCGGAGCTGAGGCATAGACTTTGAAGCCAAAGGCTTCGGCTGTCAAATACCTGTTATCGCAATTGATCAGGCCGAACTGGATCTTCAAAATCTGGTGTATTCCATTGGTTGGCATTTTTTTTTTCTTCTTCTCGTTGCAACAACTCTCCAGTAGGTCCGCAAGTGGGGGAAAAAAAAAAAAAGTCTTGTGTTACCAGCAGTCCTGCGTATGAACGCAAAAAAAGGTTAGGCACTTTGTCAGCAGCCTTGGGAGATCTGGATTAAAATGAATGAACTGAAAAGCACCTCAACTTAACACCTAATGACGCGCTCTTGATCCTACTCCAGTTGCCTCCACTTTGGCCAGTGCCGGCTGCTCTCGTATAATCTGCACGTTGACGCGCTCCTCACATCTCCCTCCCAGACTGGATGCAGAGGTGGACTTTTCCAATTCACATATTAAGCCAGGACGCAGACTGCTCAGCCAAGTGGTAGCTGCAGCCTGTTTAATTGGCCGCATCTAGGATTACAAAAGCTCTGTCCCTGGTTTTCAATGAACCGCGAACCAGCAGTAACCAATAGTGGGGCTATTGCATAAGCCACAAAGAGGCTGTATGCCACGAAACAATGCCCCTTTTGTCCGGCCGCTTCTCAAATATTCAACTCCACTGAGTGAACACTTTCTCCTCGATTATTCGGAAGCTCTTTAATTCTTCTCAGCTGAAAGGAAAGTCTCTTATTATCATCATTCCAGTAAAAACGAGACTAAAAAAAATAAACCATATACAAAAATTCTTCCTTTCGCCCGGTGTCTTTCCTCCCGAGTCAAATGTTGCAGGTGGAAAGGAACAGAGGAAAAAAAAAAAAAGCCGGTCAAGGTAATCGAATCCCTTCCCTCCTCCCCATCAGAAGAATTCTGTCTGTATCTCTTGCTTTTTACACCTGTCTTATATTACCTGCCTCTCTGATTCCTGTGGTACTTGTGTAGGTCACCTCCTGGTTCCCCATTCTGTGGCTCTGGGCATAATCTGCTTACCAATTATCCTGATATATTTTGTTTTTCTTAAAGTTTAATCCGTTTAGGCTTCCTGCGGCTCCCTACTGTGCGTCGTATCCATCTGTTCACATCTCCTTCTCATTGTCGGCCAGCGCCAGGAGCGTGTACCTGCCTGACAGATAAACCTAGACGTCCGGCTGAATCCGAAATTAACCGCGTGTATGTAGATTGAAGGAGGTAAAAGGATTTATAGGTACAGGACATGAATTGAGATAGCAGAATACTCGCCATGATGGTCACGTGTGTGACTCCAGCATGTCCTTAAGGTCAATGTGGGAGTTCAAGGTCATCTGCTTCATAATGAGTCTTAAGCTGTCTACAGCCATTAGATGTGCACGCATGATCTACATTATGCAGTGTGCAGCAAAGTGCACGCATGATCCAATCTTAGAATGTATTTATGGATTGTTTTTAACAAATAGATGCTCAGACAACCCCAGTGCAAGGCTTGCCTGGACGGTACATTCCAAACCTGGCCAATTTCTCCCCAGCGAATGATTGGTCAAGGTTATGAATATACCTGCATATCACACACCATACTGGTATGCCCCTTTAAATTGGGTGCTGAAATGACTAGCAGAGAGCGCCACAGCAATGCATAAGGAATAATATGTTGTAATTGCTTCTGATATGCTGCAAGAACGTCAATAAAGACAAACTTCTAAAGCAAGAGGTGTGCTGGGGACATGTTGTATGCTCCAGGTTTCTGCTCCACTTTAAAGGAGCCCGGGGGAATACTAGAGGACGGTTAGATGGAGGAACAATCCGACTGCCTTCAGATGGAGGTGTCTGCCGACTGTCACATGAAGATGGAAGGTCTACTCTGCTGAACAATCGTGTTTATCCTATGAAGAGGGGAAAGCAGGGGATATCACACTCCATACACGGACCTCGACATATCATACACCATAGATGAACCTGACATATCACACTGTATACATGGACCCGGACATATCACACTGTATACATGGACCTGGACATATCACACTCTATACATGGACCTGGACATATCACACTCTATACATTGACCTGGACATATCACACTCTAACATCCTGTGTCACATTAACTGCATATAAAATACAAATGATCAGATCGGCACTGACGATACAAATCAAACGTTTGACTCAGAAGCCGTTTGACCATTTCCTTCTCATCTCTGCTGAGTAAAACAGCAGCAAAAACATTGATAGGCATCATCCACGCGGGAACTATAGTCAGCAGAGATGGACATTGAGCAGCAGCTCCGACAGGTACCATATCTCAGCCAAGCGCTAAGCATCCTGGCAGTCCAATTCAGTTCATCCCATTCCCTTTCCCCCAGGTAGACTCTAGCCCGTAGAGTGGAGAAGTGGGCCTTGGCTGAATTTTAGGCCACGATGACACTGCATACAATCTACATACTTAAAGGATGTAGGGCGATTTACCAGCTACTAGATTGGTGGCTGCTGAGTTCTCCAGTTTGAGAATATGGGACATATATCAGAATCATAAGATTAGGTCTAATATCTAGATTAAGACCTAAACTGGTAACATAACCACAATACCAACTCAGGAAGTGACATCTCTTTTAGTGTGCGAAAACACCTATGGGGTGGCCACAGGGCCGGTGCTAGGATTTTTGCCAACAAAGGCAAAGTTACATTTTTATCAGGTGGGAGGAGCTTCAGGTGGGGTCCTAATTTAGCTGGCCGGTGACTGCCAGAGGATCTCGACACGCGCGGCACCTCTGTCAGTCGCCGGCCAGCTAAATTAGGACCCCACCTGAAGCTCCTCCCACCTGACCAGCGCTGACTCGCCGCTGCTCTCCCGCAGCGAAGGAAAGTGAAAAAAAAACCAAAACATAGCGCAAACATCGGGGCATTTTGACAAGTACAAGTACTTGTCAAAATGCCCTGTTTTTTCCGCCCTCACCCTGCAGCGCCCTCAGACGGCTGCCTGACTTGCCTTGCGGTAGCGCCGGGCCTGGGTAGCCATGTCTCTACCACCTATAATTTTGAGAAAGTATTCAGTGCTGTTTGATATCACTCCTTCCCATCATGTCAGCATGCTGGTGTGGGCAGCGCATCTCCTGTTGACACCAAATATTTCTAGCTGTGCTTTTTAGGTTAATCTGTGTATTAGCAGACCTCACAGCATCAGAGACATTTTCAATAGGCTATATTTAGATATCTAACCAGCACTGAATATATATAGCAGGGGTAGGCAACCTCGGAACTCCAGCTGTGGTCAAACTACAAGTCCTATAAGGCATTGCAAGGCTGACAACCACAGGCAGGGCTCCCAGAAGCAGAGGCATGATGGCATTTTTAGTTTTACTACAGCTAAAGGGCGCGCAAGGTTGCCTACCCATTGAATATAGAATCTAAAGAAAAGCTGACTTCTTTAACAAACACTAGCCACAGCCAGGGCCAGATTTCCCACAAGGCCCGGTCTTGGGGCAGCAGGGAGTAGAGGGGCAGCAGGGGTGTGGAATTCCTATCTCGTGATGCCCGGGATATGCAGTTCCGGGCACCGGGCGGGTAGTTGTTTACTACATTTAGCCCTGCTTTGGGCAAGCACAGCGGGGAAGCCGCCGTTTGTTTTGTACAAGTGATCCCGGCGTTGTCGCCGAGATCACTTGTATGCAGCCTGCAGGTCTGCCATTCTCCATGGGGGGAGAATTGGCACGTAGGGGGACGCATTGAGGAACTTGGCCTTGGGACAGCAGAGTGAGTAAATCCGGCCCTGGTCACAGCTAAAGATTTCCCTTCTGGTGGGTTATTTGACAAATTGGGGTCCCAAAAATGTTGCCAAGTGCTCATTATTGCTATTTTAACTTCACTGTGGTTCTGCCACCTAACTCTACACTGTCCTAGGAGCTCAATACATACTTTGTCCCCTGGGTACAGATACACAGACCACAGACTACCTCTTAGCTGTGATTGGATTACGTTGCCTAGGGTGGCCATATTAGATCACTGACTCCTTTAAATTCTGCAACAGATCTAACTGTCCAAAGTATGGGCAAATCTGACCACTATGTGGGGGTGCAAAACATCTGTACATATGGCTTTCATTTTCCACAAGCAATGAATATCCAATGTTCTTGTGTTTGAAGGACAGTCCGTACACAAGAAGTGCAGGGGGGCAGCAGTCTCCAAAAGACTGTGCAGAGACACCCATGTTGGTAGGTAATAAAGGGCTTGTGACATCAGATCATGTGATCAGAGAAAGCTTTATTGAAGATAAAATAAGTTTACAAAACCGGAAATGTGTTTTGTGGCAAACATATGGCCACTTCCTCCGGCAAGGTGCAACACAATTCAGGAATAGGCTGGGCAGCAACTTTCAGCGTGGTTTGAATATGAGCCTTGCCTTCAATACATCTTTTAATGGACATCTGACATCTCATACCAGTTTGTTACCTACCAATGTGGGAACCTCTGCACAGCCTTTTGGGGACCATTCCTCCTCATATGCTTCCCACCAGCACCAAGCCCCTGTGAGGAGACGGTCCTGGACCTCCGTGAGAATAGAGTGCAACCAAAATCAGCGACAGAAAGGCCTACATGGAGACAGAAATATTCTCCACACGCATGTCTTCAGGTTGAAGGAACCCCTTGTGGGCTCTAGCAAGAGCCAAGGGGCTCTTCTACTCTCCTCTTGAGTTCCTCTCTTCTCTCCACCTTCTTCTTTGGAGAACCTACAAGGCTATATGTGAGAAAATGAACGCAGACGAAAAGTGACCATAAATGCACTCATAAAATGAAGTGATGCTCCAGATTTGGTCTGTTTATATGCCAAAAGGTGATGACTTTAGACCCTCGGTTCTCAACTGGTGGGTCGTGACCCAAAAGTGGGTCGCCACCCCATGTTCAGTGGGTGGCCACAAGCCTTCCACTTTTCTAGGCGAGAGGTTCCTCAGCCTCTTCCTAGCGCAGCACTGTCAGTTCTCGCACCAAGCAACCATTTATAATATGCTGCTCGGTGCCAAGTGTCAGCTTGAGTTGGGGTGGGCTAGGTGTATGGCTGCGAGGGAGCTCCATCCATACATGCATTGCTTCTAGCTTCCTCACATGTCTTGCAGAGTTGCCTGGACCAGAGTGACATCACATTCTGGTTCCCGGCACCTCTACAGGGCG